CGGAACCAGCAAAAAAACAGCGAAAGCCCATGTCGGAAACATGCTAAATTTTCAAACTCAAAAATTAGAACAAAATAGTCACTTACCACAGTAGACATGGTGATTCGTTGCATCGCCTGTCTGCTAAGCTCAAAACAACCGCGCCTGGCTTGACGGAGAAACCAGGAGAACAGCTGAGCATATTTACGACAGTGCACTTTTACTTTCACCCTCTGGGGGGGGCCTCGCTGGAAAATCTACACCGGTTGCATAGTATACCTTTAACACAAAGTAACAATGATAAAAAGTAAAAAAAAGAAAGTGTTCCCAACTACAATCAGTCCCCTTTAGGGGCATATTTTCTTCAGAAGGTTTAAGAACATAAAGTTTTACATAGTTTCAAACTCTGTACCTTATGATCAGCATTTATAAAATCATGGAAAATAAATATAAACAGATATTTATATACATTTTCTGAATAAAATGGTCAAAAACATAAATATTAAATGCTTATTTACCTACTGAACAATAAAATAAGCCTTGGGTATTGAAATAGATCAAATAAAAAAGTCATATCTTTTTATAAAAGCGAGGAGGTTGGATTTTTTTTTCATTATAGCTCCAAAAATATAAAATGATTTTGCATGTATGCCTTTTTAAAAGAAAGGAATTTAGTTGGCAAATTCACTCTTTCTTTAAAAATACTTTCTAAATTTAGCTAAGTTGATTATATCAGAAGGGGACTGAGCTCTGATTATAATTCTCCATCTGCAGCAACCACTTCAGCTGGAAGGCAACATTTGAATGACTCTTGAATTACAGTCAGGGGCCACTAAAATCAGGGGTCATCCCTGAATTTGAATTAAAAAAACAAAGGACCTTGAAGCTGAAATTCTTGCAGGACAATTCTTAGTTTGTTCTGTAATAGCAACCTCTAAATCCAACATGGATTGATAGTTAAGTTTGTTTTAGACCCACAGTAGCTTAGAACCTGCATTTTAAAATAAATCAAAACAGGCTGTTAAATGTGTGTATTTCTAATAGTGATTAGCTTGTAAATTAGGACTGTACTTAAATCATCTATTTTAATCAAGAAGCTTGGTCAGCTTCATAGGGATTTAATGTGTACATTAAAATTGTTCTTGATCTAAAGTTATCAGCTTTAGTACATACTTGAATATCTGAGAGTAATCCTAACTTCCCTCCAGAGTAGTTTCTTAGCTGCACTGAGCACCATTTTACTTTTACCCAATATGAGAATGATTTATAAAAGAATATATACATATTTCTGTCATGTTATCTTATAAGTTTTTAACCGCCTGAGCTGTCAAGAAAAGGTGCTGAAATGAAATTCAATAAATGTTATAAGAAGGAAAAAGGGCAAATTGAATCTCACAGAGAAAAGCACAGTTGAAGTGATGTTGGCTACGGATGAGACGAGGAGCTGGATGTTAGCCAGACTCAGGAAACCGAGTCGGTGGAAGTTTGGCAGAAAATAATCCATACTAGACACGCCACTATGCATCGTAATGCAACTGAAATGAATCAGTTCCCTTGAGCTTTGTCTCATACAGAACAACTGTAAATATTAAGGTTGCTGTTTATTTCGATTGTTAGATCAAAGGATATGAATAAAAGATATTTTCAGTGTCTCACAGCATACATTGATTTATAGAGGCACTCTTTGAACTGCCTTTTATAGGACTCCACTGGTGATATTTTTATTGCCTCCACTGTAGTTCTTTAAAAATCTAAATATCCCCCTTCTTTTATACCTGGTCCTTTGCCTCCTCCACCTCATTAACCTGCTCATCGACTCTTCTTCTCTTTCCCCAGATTTCCAGTTTTGCATCATCTGCTGGTTTCCTAGCCGTGAAGAAGCACATTTTCTCTTCCTCCAAAAGTCGCCAAGCAACAATGTACAGGTGCCCTGCATTAGTCTTTGTGTCGCAAAGAAAAAAAAACTGAAAGAGAAGAACGAATGAATACAAATATTAATAAGCCGGACAGTTATTGAAGGCAACAGACGGCTCGCTCAGAGAAACCCAACCAACTGATGGTTATTCCAAAAGGCACAGACTCTGACCCTGTGTTCAAGTTGTGCTTTCATGCTGCCATAGGAGTGCTGCAAACATATCATAAAAACCTGTGTTCTTCATATTTAGTCATAACAAGCTTGTGACGATCTGTGAAGTTTTCTTTATGACAAAAAAAATATATATATATATGTACAGCATGACGGATGCTTTGGTTTGACTGAATAAAGGGGAACCAGTAGCAGTTGTAAAAAAAAAGAAAAGAAAAAGAAAAAAAAGAAGAGAGTAAATGGATCATGACTGAGTATCTAACTTATACAAGAAAAAAAATGAAGGAGCAAATATTTTTATTGTTTTCAAAATAAGAGCTTTGAATTTGTGCTTCAGACACAGAAGCAAACGTTTGTTCTACCAAGGCTTTCCTGTTGTTGCCACTCATGGGAGTCGAGGAGCAATGCCAGCTGAGGGTCGAATTCGTTCAATGGAATTTGTGCCTGGAACTCACGGCCTTATGCGTCGGCTGCGTTAACGCATTGGATTCTGCAGCTAGGAAGGAATGCTGTACTTCTTATGCTGTAAAAGAGCGACTGTGCTTCTGTTCTGCTGATAAAACTGCCGGCTCGCTTGATGAGTCATCGCTAAAACCCTTTTTAGAGCATGTTCACTCATAGTGATTCAGTGAAAACTGGCATGTACTCTTCAAAAATCTTGTCACCTTAACAAAAGCTGATTTTTTTTGTTGTTTTTTTTTTATATCAGTTTCCTCTTAAACTTGCTGCAGTGTGGTCTTAATTTATATCGGATTGGTAACTGTGTCATGTTAATATGTTTAATCCTATTTATTTCTTCTCTGCCTGCATTCAGATGTGAATGTATGTTTGGGTTTTGTCATGCATGGCCAAGTGTTGTGTTTTTTGTTTCTTTTTTTGGCCTCAGTGAGCTGCCTTTTGCACAGTTCAGTCTTAGCCAGAAGAAACTTGCTTTTTAAGACTCATTCAGATTCCTTTTTCACTTTTCAAATGGTTTGAATAGGGAAAAAAAATACAATTACACATTAAAAAACAGTAGTCACTACACATAGGCTGGATACTTGGATCAACTTTCAATTTAAGATAAGGTTCTGTTTTAAAAATGTGGAAATTTACCATTAATTTCATGAAATGGCAGGAAAACACAGCACCAGTAATGACACCCCCACTGGGAAAAACATACACAGTTTGGTCTCTTTTTGAAATGTCTTGTAGTTATTAGAATAATCATATTCTATTTATAAAGCTACAGTTCCTATATCATTAAAGAGGCAAGCTGCAGGCTTGTTGCCTGTGTGTCTATACGAGGATAACAGTAAAATAGTGCAATATTCTTTATAATGAAGATTTAAACTCTTTTTGATATATTTAATCTACATCTTCCAACCAGTATATCAATAACTGTGACGATCTATTATCTTTGCAGTGTTTGGTAATTACTGGCACGTTTTAAAAATACATTTGGGTGCTGAAGATGGCACCAGCCCAAGCCTAAATTTGACCAATATGAGATGAAACATCACCAGAAAATAGGCCCAGCTTTATCTTACTAAAAGAAAATCCTAAAGGAAAGATGATATGGCACATGTGACACATTAACAACCAAGCACATCACAGATTGACCTCGACACGGTTAAGAATTTGACGGTGTTTGCAGCTGCCCCCAAGGACAGCAGGAGCTATTTGACACGTGCCAACTTGGCTCCCTGAGAGTCAACCTCTAGTCCCATTTAACTGTTTTTTAGCTTGGCTCAGAATGCTGTGTAATGTTAAGGGCAGACACCGCAGTGCTTTTCACCATAAAACCCATTCAATTAAAGCAAGTTTCTAAACCAAAAAAGTCTTAACATGTCTTTTAACATATTTTAAATGTTTTTGTCTGTCTAGGTGACCTGACCATTGCTGAAGTTGCATATTAATTAATTTGCAATATAAAATATGGTGTCATGGTGAATTTTGTATGTTTTTTTTTTCTTTATGAATCCCTGTTCACATCTGTTGGGAATCGGTCCCCTGTAAACTGCCGCTCAGTCCTCCTTCAGCCATTCAGAAAATTCCTCCTATTGTGAATTTGAAGACTTGTGTGGAGACCATTGTGGCTCTGTAACGTTTACCACAACCAACGGCTGAGCTAAGAGACTTCAGCCCAACCAATCAGATGAGGGGAATTCTTTCCCCACAGCACACAAGTTTCCCTGGCAACAGCAACCAATGAATGCCCCTTCAATTTGCACCTAATTGCTGAGCGACACTTCCCCGTTTCTCCTCCTGTTCTACTTCTAATCTAGAACACGGTACCTTTCAAAAATAATGACGTAAATGAGACAGAGGAACCTGTCGGTGTGCGTCTGTTCTTTTATTTGACCATGTAAAAGTTTGATTTGTATTTTTATGGTGTTATTTTGTACATGTGACTCCTTTTTTCACAATGTGAAATTCATGGCTAATAAACATAAGAGTTTTTTCCTCTTGACCGTAACGTTTTGGTTTTGTCATTACTGAGGGGATTTGTCTGTCTGCATGTGTTAATGTCACCCTGCTAGGTCAGACGGTGAAAGCAGCTTCCAATGTATAGCAGGGCAATTGCTCCTTACTGCATGTTTCACATATTTAGGGCGATTTCAAATGAGCACAAGTGTATTGAGGTATTTAGGGCACTATATTGTGCATAAAGGTTTTGTTTGGGGGGGTTAAATCGTCTTATCTATGCCTATGGCTTCTAAGCTTCCTGCACAAGGACGCGCTAGAACAGCCAGATACTTTCCCTTTCTCTGTCAAGTCACCTTGGCAACGGCAACCTTTATCTGCAAAGTGTGGGGGTTGGAGGATGACATGAAATCTTAAAAAGCACCTCTCCCTGTTGTCCCTCCCCCAATTGCCTATTGGAAAACCTTCCTATGGGGGAAATGCATTTCAAAGTGTGGTGTCTGACCTGCGTCTCTAACAGGTCCTACAGCATCCTGCTTAGTGAGAGACTGCACAGCACAGCCCCACTCGTTGCATTCCTCAAGCTCTGAGGGGTCTGTTCATTGTTGACATTCTTCACCCTGTCACGGTTTCTGACTAATGACAGCTTTAAAAAAAAAACAAACACAGTTTTTCTGCTGACCCTTTTATAAACAAATCCCCTTTTTTTTTACTTTCAGGTGTATCGGAGCTTAGGAGATGTGTTTTTTTCTTTCCTAGAAATCGCAGTGCCTTCTGTTAGGATGCAATAAGCTGTTGAAATCCTAGCTTTTCTATTTCAGTCCTGTTTTTCTCAAGCACCGTGAGAGCCAGAGGGAATAAAAAAAAGGGTTGACACTCAAGGTGAAATGTGGCGGCTCTGTGTGGGAGGCCTCTCTGTGTGATCCCACAGTCTCCCCATTAATCAAGACAGGAAGTTGGACTTCCTGTCAGCCAGGAAGTAGGTCTCACCCCCCCACTTTGGCCTTACCCTGCAACCCCCATCCCTATAAACCGCCACACCAACCTCCAGAACATACTGCGGATGGCCTGACCCTTCAACAATGTGCATCCTCTGGGTCCTCTTAGCCTAAGCATAGTTTAACTTAAGTCTAGGGTTTTGTGTGGGCAGGATGCATGTGTGGCCCAGTGTGATAAAAACAAAGCACCTTATAATGTCAATGTTGCCAGGCAACGCAAGCAGTAGCCCTGACTCAGTTCGGGAAAAAAAAAAATGAACGGTGAGAAACCACAGATTTGAGGGAAATTTTTCAATTCTAGATTAACTTCCCTCATAAATAAAAATCTGGATACTTCGATTTTTTTTCCAGCAGGAATTGAAATGAAAAGTATCCAGCATCACTAACTAAACAATTCTTTTTAGCAGGGTATTTTCAAACCGTTTCTGTAGACTGAACTGTCATAACATGAATGCTGCAAAATTTAAAGTCTGGTCGGCTGGACTGAACTTGAATTCTACAAAAATAGAAAAACAAATAAAAAGTGCGAAAAATACATAGGAAAGAAAATAAGCAGTAAAAATTTTCAAATTGTCGAAAATAATTAAAGTTGATGCCTGAATCTTAATCTATCTATCTATCTATATATATATCTATCTATATATATATAGATAGATAGATAGATATTGTTTTTTTGGCTTTAAGTGTCAAATTTAGATTTTTACTTGACTCCTGCACTAAAAATAAATAAAAATGCAGGTACGTTGTAAATTTGTAACAACAGCTTTAACAGTCAGGGAGAAGTTGCGCTTCAAAAATATGCTTGTCAAAGGTTTCTACCTCTGCAGTAAATGTATCACAACTGGCAATGTGGGGAATGTACATGCTATCTTTGATGTTTCTGTAAAACAAAATGTTTGTGGCATATTTGCAACAATAGGCATACTTACTTGAGTAAAGAAGTTTAATCAGTACTTCTACTTTTACCAGAGTATTTTTCAACACAAGTATCTGTACTTTTACTCAAGTACGGAAAGTGAGTACTTTTGCCATCTCTGGAACACACACATGCTAAGCCAAATTTTTTAGCCAGAAGGCCTTACACAGGACCAGCAGTTATTTTAGATGTATTTCAGCATTAAAATGTTGCTCATTATAACACATTGCATTTTCAATGCATATAAATGATCATTAATTAATTTGAAAACATCAAAATTCTTAGATCATATTGGTTAATAACTAAGAAAAATGACCCTTGAAATAGAAGCTAAATAAGAAAATGACCATGAAAGAAGCCAGTACATGGTCAACGTACTTGTTTAGACCGACAATCTAAATGTTATTGAACATCAAGCCGAAGCCACCATCATCTGAAAGAGTCTACGGAGGGGTTACACCATGCATACTGTTTCTGAGGCAAAACAACACAAGAAATGCAAAAAAAAGTAAAAAAAAAAAAAAAAAAAAGGACAAACAATAGCCCAATCCTCCAAGGCTATTAATATT